AGTTCTCCCGGCTGGTGACTTTGCGGGTGTGGATGTGTGTGTGAGAGAGGGCTTTTCGGTATTCCCTGGAACGTTTTTGGTAGCGGATACCTTTTGGAGAAAACGTGCATCAGTCCCAGTACGGTCCGTTCTCATGTGTCAAAATAAGGACAAGCCTGAGGGCTGTGCTTAAAGCAAAAGTGGAAGGAGGGTTGGATGGGGGAGGAATTTTTGTTTTCTTTTTTTTTTTGGGGGGGGAGGCGAAGATTTTTGTTAAGCTTTCAGACACAACACTTTCAATATGGAGTAACCTAAGCTGTTGCTTAAGTTTTGGTGGCAGTTCTTTTGTCTCAAGAAAATATATAGTCTTCACCAGATGGCCTGATTTCCCCACTAACAACTTCATTAAAATGTTACATAAATAAGAAGGAGGGCAGGAAAATACAGGCATACCCCCCACGTGACCAAGCGTGTTTATCTTGCACATGTTGCTTTGTTTGGTTTTTACGATGCCTTCTCCTAAGTAACTGCAAAATAGTCAAACTTAGCATCAGGTTTAAAGTTTCCCTTTTTTCCTCTAATCAAAACAGGAGGAAGAAATGGAGATGATGACTGAGAAACAGAGAGATGCTAGGTATTTCTGGAACAATACTACTGAAAAAAGCGATTATGAGGCTGTAGAAGCCCTTATTTCTATGAGCTGTAACTGGAAATCAGACTTCAAAAGACATGCAGAAATGAGGCCTATAACTCCAGCATCTGATATGTCAGAAGAGAGTGACGAGACTTTGCTTCCTGGAGCAGCGGACTTTAATGCGATACCAGCATTTGTAAGTTTTTGAATTTGTACCTGTGCGTGCTTGTCTTTAACAACTGGTGTGGCAATGTGTTGGTAATGTGCCCCCCCCCTTACTGTGTCTCTCTCCCCCGCGCAGTGCCTGACCCCCCCCTACAGCCCTTCCGACTTTGAGATGTCGCATCTGGGGGCACCGGCGCCCGCTGCAGCGCTCGGCAGGTCACTGGCCGAGGCGGAGAGGCCTCCAGCAAAAAAAAAGGCTCAAGCCACGAGCGTTATCCGCCACACGGCTGATGCCCAGCTCTGTAATCGCAAAACCTGCCCGGTGAGAACAGCCAGTGTGCTGAAATACCAGGACAGTGTTTTGAGGGAAGCGAAGAGTAAACCAAACCCCGAAGCTGAACACTCAGTGTGTTCCGCCTCGGCGCCAAACAGAGCCAGCGACGAGAGCAGCGAACAGCCGGTGGCAGAAGGAAAAACCGCAGAACCAGCTGTTGGTCCGGTGCCCGTGAGGAAGCCCTCGGTCAGCAGGCGTCAGCCTGTCCCGGGTCCGGCGCAGCAGGCGGCGGCACCGCTGTGCCCTGCCCCAGGCAGTGGGGCGCCCCCCGTGCCGGTGATTTGCCAGATGGTCCCGCTGCCCGCAAACAACAGCGTCGTGACGGCCGTCGTGCCCAACGCTGCGCCGAGCCAGCAGCCGGCGCTCTGCCAGCCCATGGTCTTCATGGGCACCCAAGTTCCCAAAGGTGCCGTTATGTTTGTTGTGCCCCAGCCGGTTGTGCAGAGCACAAAGGCTCCCATAATTAGTCCAAACGGCACGAGACTCTCTCCCATTGCTCCTGCTCCCGGCTTCGTACCTTCTGCAGCAAAAACCACTCCTCCAGCTGATTCCTCAAGAATAAGGAGTCACATCTGCAGCTACCCGGGGTGTGGGAAAACGTACTTCAAGAGCTCCCATCTGAAGGCGCACATCAGGACACACACAGGTTGGTCACTGTCGCTGGGTGTTAAAAGTTAACGCAGGAAATTGCAGCTCTGTAGGCCACCTGTCACGGTTCCAGCAATTACCGGGTTTGTTCATGGAACAAATTGTGGGGCAGCAATGAAATGCTTTTTTTTGCCAGCGCGTGTTCTAATGCTGCCTGATCTCGGACAGGAAATCTCCCAGAGGGGAAGCTGACTCAGCAGTTTGTTTGTGCTGGACTTGCTTCATGTCAGAAGGCGTTCAGTAACACTTCTTATGAGTGTGGAAGCGAGGCCTTGCCCAGTGTAGAGCATGCCTTTCCGGAGCTAAAGACGCCTTGTTAGGCTTCTCCACAAGAATGCCTTTGTCAGAACTAAAGGGTAAAACTTACAGAGATTCTTTTATGAAGGAATGTAAGGATCCACACAAACTGTTCCTGCCTCGGTTATTTCAGAGTAGCTTCTCGTCCCTCAGCTCTTGATCGCGGTAGCAGAGTGAGTCACGTGTAGGCTCACAGGCACTGCCGGGGCTCTGTTAGGTAAACGTTGTCACGGGTTGCGCTTCAGAGGGTAGCTTCAGAGGGTAGTTTCGGGCATGCTAAGTCATCATCACCTGCAGTTCAGAGCATCTTGTTAACCCTTTGTACTACTTAGCTTTGAGGATACTGAGTCTGCATGTTTAAATATTGGTATGTAAACCATTTTTCTTGTTTCGTATATATAAAATAATTAATATTTATGTCGATTTTTGGCTCAACTGTCGTAATAGAAACTTTGCTGTTAAAAAAGTCAAATCTGCCAGACAAGGCAGTGGTGTTTGTTGCTCAGTTAATACTCATGGGGTTTTTTTGATTTGTCATTTTTTTTCTTTTAGGAGAAAAGCCGTTTAGTTGTAGTTGGAAAGGCTGTGAGAGAAGGTTTGCACGATCTGATGAACTCTCTCGCCATCGCAGAACGCATACCGGGGAGAAGAAGTTCGCCTGCCCCATGTGCGAGCGGCGGTTCATGAGGAGCGACCACCTAACAAAGCACGCGCGTCGCCACTTGTCGGCCAAGAAGTTACCGAGCTGGCAAATGGAAGTGAGCAAGTTAAACGACGTTGCTGCGCCGCCAGCGTCTGCAGCCGCGCAGTGAAGGGCTTGTTCTGAAGACTGAAAAAGCCAGCCGAAAAAAGTCTTTTGCTCCTGGCCTGTGGTGATGCCGCACCGGCGGCTGGTGGCAGCGCTGCCGCGAGGCAGAGGCGCTCTGTGCTCGGTCACAAACAATGTTGCTGGGGGCACCGGTGGCTGACTGGAGTAGCGGGTGTCTTTTGCACTGGCAAGGAGAGAGAGAAAGGGAAGGTTCTAGAGCAGAGCAGCATGCATTGTGCCAGTTAGGAATTTTGCAGATTTTTCGTGTGTGCTCTAGACCGTCACGTGTTGGTGCAGGTCTGCTGCTGGCACTTGGGGCCGACTCTGATTCAAACTTGCGGTTGCCAGCCCTCCGTGCAGCACGGGCTGGGCAGGCAGCGGTGCGCGGGCACCTGCGCGACAGAGATAATCGAAATCGCTTTTCCTGCTTCTGCCACCTTGCCTGGGTCAGAATCTTTTCCTCCCGTCCATTCTCCGGCCCTGTCATAAGTGATGATTTGGTGCCAGGCTCCTGGCGATTTTAGACCTGCCCTCCTGCACAGGGCGCTCGGTGCACGCCGCTCTGTGCTACTGTCCAGAGGGGCTCGGGGCGGGCATCCAGGGGCACCACGGGCGCAGCTGGAGGGTAGGAACCTCATTAGCTTTGTGATGTTTTTCCCAGCTTCTTTGGCGAGCTTTGTGATTATTACCGTTGGTTATACCGGGGCATCGTACGGTGCTTCTGCTTTTGTGTCGCTTACGGTTTCCTTTAAACCTGCTCACGACGACCGTGTGCCACCGCGTGTTTCGTAGCGGATACAGTGCACTTTTACGAGAAACATTGTAACTGTAAACTACGCGGGTAGATAAGGAAGAAAACCAAGAATCTTAGGCCTCTTGATCATCTTATTCTTTGAAAGGCGGTTTATACTAAAAGTGAAATGGATATATTATGTATTGTATTAGAAAGTTGTGATTCGAAAAGCAAAACGAGGCAGTAAGGACACCAGCCTAGAGTTTAAACTGTAGCTTTTGTGACAAATAATGCATCACCTTTCACTATTTCTATTTTATCGTATAATGTTGAGGACACATATCAGAAAGTGAACTGTTTGAAAACAGTGTATTAGATACACTTTTTGTGACTACTTTAAAGATTTGCACATTTCTTATGTTGTACTTTATACTTTGTTTACAATAAAACCGATTTTCTTTAATATGGACCTCTCTTATTTGAGCTCATAGCAGAACGTATCCCTTGGCAAGGGAGAGAACCCCAAAACAAAATACAGTGTCTGTCCTTAGGTGTCCTGACCAATGAAACACCCTCTTAACTTGTGATATTTTTAAAAGTCCTGTAAAGCCCACAGCTGTGCTTACTACTGCAAGTCTCTGTTTTGTTGTGTTGGGGTTTTTTCTCCCCACTCTTCATCCCCCCCTCCTTTTCTCCCAGCACCCAAACCCAAATGTGCTCACGTGGGCCCTTGTAACACCCGTGACAAACATTTCCTTGTGTTGGAGAGGGAACCCCGCTGGCTTCCCGGGGTGGAGCCCAGCCCCTGTCCCCAAGGGCCAGGCTTGGGGGGCAGCTGCCACCCCGCAGGGTGGGATCCAGGTCCCCCCGCGGCGTTGGCCCTCAGCGGGAGCTGGTGCAGAGGTGGGCGCTGGCCGGCCCTGTTCCCCCGGGCGGGGCTTTCTAGAGCCCCTCGGTGCTGTTCCTGTGGGCTCCTCTGCCTCCCGCTCCGACTGCCCCCTGCCTGGGAGATCCCCACGTTTCACAGCTGCGTGGCTGCTGACTCACTGCCCTGCCCTGCGGGTGCTGGGGCAGAGCACTCCTTACCTTATCCTGTTTGACGCAGTGCCTAGGGAAAATTTGAGTCATCGCCCTTTCTTCTTGTTCCAGGGGGAATACACCATCACAACCCAATGCAAAAGAGATGCTCCCCCAGGAGTGAGAGTCCCTCTCCACCATCTTGCTTCCAGGTATTTTACATTTCATGGGCATAAGAAAAAAGATTGTAAGAGCTCTGGATCTGAAACCCTTCCATGTCTGCAGCTAGCCACGGGGCTAGGGAGCCGGGTCCCCTCGCCACACTGAACCTTGAACCCACTTCTGTGCCACGGCCCCACGCGAGGAGGGCATAAAGAAAGTGCCACCCCCATCGTTATCCTGCCCACACCGAGCTGGCCGTGGCTGCCCTCAGCAGTGTGCATGGTGGGCTTTGAGCCCCTTTTAGCTCAGCAGGGAGCCAAATTTAAATCTGGTTTCCCAGGCGAGCGCTTTCATGCCACCACGCAATAAAAGGGGAAGAAAGGGAGTTTCCGTGCCGTGGCCATCTCTGCTGCCTGTGTCTTCTGAAGAAAAAGCAGCTGCTGGTGCTGTTTGTGTGGTATCCAGCCCTGGAGGTGCCCTGGGAGCAGTCGCCGGCGGCACCACTGGGGAGGCTGCAGAGGAAAGCCTGCTTCTGGCACTGCTCTGAGCTAAATAAAATACAGTTTCTCACTCTAAATACAGAATTTAACGGTAAGAAGTGCACTTCTGGCTGGTTCCAGCTGAAAGCAGAGCTGTAATTGTCAGTTTACCTCACAAGCCATTTTTTAAAGCTTGGAAGCCAACTGGAAATTAAACCAGCTATTTGGTCTAACCTGCAAATGTAGTTGAAAGGGCATTATTAAATGGCTTTTCAGTGCTGAATCGTACAACCAAGTTTGGTTGCATAGTAGGAAATGATTTTTGTGAATCTTCTACAGATTTCTCTGAATAATTAGAATTTCCTTTCTCCTCTACGTAAACTAAAAGCACACTTCGTATCTTGTCCTCCTACTTGGGTTTAATGACGAAGCCAAACAGACACCAAACCGAAACTCTCTTGGCAAACCCCCGCGGTTAGTACTTGGATGCCAGCACTGGTGGGTGCTGGCTGTGGCAGGGCTTGCCGGGGCAGCCGCTGCTGTCGTTTGCTGTGCAAACGCCTGGCTCCAGGCAGCTGATCCAAAGGGATCTAGGAGGTCAGCGTATATTCTTGGAAGCAGATTTCGTAAGTACCTATAAACCCTTCATCTTGTGCTTAGCGCTGATCTCCAGAGTGGTGTGCGCACACAAAAACCGAGGCTGCAGAGGTGATACCGATTACGCGAGTTGGGGCATAACCTGACTGTTCCCGGCGCGCAGGGAAGGGCAGCTGGGGTCTCCCGGCGAGTTGTCCTGGGAAAGGAGGGAGTGAGCCCCTGTGTCCAAAGCAAAGCGATGTAACCCCACGCTGGGTACGCCTACCTTGCCGATGGGCGCTGGGGGAGACGGGGGACCATGTTGGGGGCAGAAGGTGCCTGCCTGGCCTGGGCGTCGTGCAGGCAGCTCGTTGTGCTGCAGGAGGAGCAGCAGGGCTGAGCACGATGCGTTGGGGGGCTTGGGTTCTGCTTGTCCCACCCCCTACTCGAACCAGGGCGGATCACCGATAGGGAACTGTGGTGCTGGGGCCCCCTGCGTGTGCCCTGAGTGTGCCTTTGCCAGTGCTCCTTGGGGATTTTAATCTCGTCAGAGAGGATGGAGAGAAGGCTGGAAAAAGCAAGCATTTTCCCTTGTGGTTTGGAGAAGGATAATTTCCATTACAGCAGGAGTATTTGTGGGAGGGTTAGATGCTCTACAAGTGAACTAATATGTATTTTAAAAGAAGAGAGGTCCTGAGCTGGGGCAGCTTGTCTGGAGCCACAGATGCAGCTGAGACAAGAACCAGGGCAGCCTGTCTGCCCATCCCCCCTGGAGCGCTTGGCTCTCTGAGGTTTTTCCTCCCGAGCTTTACCATCCAGTGGTGCTATTTCAAGATGCCCTTAACCAACCGGTCCTGTGATCCTGGCAGAGGGTCCGTACAGCTTTGGTGCCAGAGTGGGTGCCACAATGCAGACGTGGCACATGCCCAGAGAGCTGAGAGGAAGGGCTTTATCATCAGCCTGAGACTTCCACACCGCATGTAGAGGCATCAGGTATTCCCCTGGCACCTCCCCACTTTTACTGTAAATAGATGATTCATTTGTCTGCTTTGGCAACAAACTTGGATCACCAAGGAAACACTCGCAAGCTGTCAGAAAAGTTGGAGCACAAAATCAGGTCAAGAGAAATGATGAATGAATGAATATGTGCATCACAGGCTCAAGCTCCCTGTTCTATGTCACAGATTTTCTGCAGAGCGTGTGGTCAGGGGGGTAATATTCAGCTAGAACAAATGTTTTGGGGGAATATGTCTTACGATGTAATCAAGCATGTCGCACAGAGCTTCTATGTCTTTTCTGGGGATATGGGGATCTGGAACGCTTTCTGTTGTCACGAAAAGAAAATATGATGCTTTAGCAATAAGAAAACAAGAGTAAAACACATCTTTAGCCATCTCATTATATTCATGAGAAGACAGGGCCTAAACTTGCTAACACACTTTCTGTGTTCTGTTATAAATCAGGTAACAATCACGTGAAATGTACTAAATAATTCAGAAGCTTTGTCAGGATACCACAGTTTTGATTAAACTTTATACTTGCTTGTGTATTCCTCTCTGAAAGTCAAAGTAAATGTCTGGTGAAAAAATTCTGCTGTTACCGCTGCTTCAACTCCTTGGAAGGTTTCGGTAGATGTCAAGGTACTTGCATGGCAACAACTTCCCAAAGAAATGGATGCAGCAGTCGCGGGGGCTGCCCGTGCACCGACAGCTGCAGTGAGGCACGAGCACACCCTGTTCGGCTGAACATTCTGTGGGGCCTCGGCAAAACTTAAACAGCTTTGAATAGTGGAGGCATATAGTGTCTCCTCTCTGCCCAGCTCATCTCCTGACTGCTTCCAACACAGCCAGGAGGAACTGACATTTGTCAAGTCCATTTTTTTTTTTTAAACCTTCACAAATTTCTCATTTCATTAATGCTTTCTGGGCTGAATTCCATACAGCTGTCATTGTTCAGTTGTGAGGGCTGGGATCCTCACAGCGATAGCTGGGGGACTGGCACCGGCAGGGGGGTACTTACTGTGAACAGCAACCTCAG